GGCTGGCCGACGCATTTACTGATTTCTCCTCCAGCTCCTTCTTAGCAGAGCACTGACTCATACTTCACAGCCGAAGCCGAAGCGAGCAAAGCGGTTATTGTCCGTCCCCGCTCCGACCCCTCGTCTCGCTGGGACAGCCGCCAGCCGGCGGGCCCCTCGCATCCTCTCTCGGCCGAAGAGCGCACACGCGCCGTCCCTCTGTCCGAGACTGCCCGGGCCCTCGCGGGCGTCTGACCCACAGACGCGTGCGACTGCCGGGGCCTCTGTCACTCCCGGCTCCGCCGGCCGGCGAGGGCCACGCGAGCCCAAGCCTGCCGTGCCGGCGAGAGCTCTTCACGCCAGAGGCGCGCGAACTGTCATTCCCCAGCTCGGGCACGGAAAGCGAGCCGCCCAAGGCCGCTGGGGAGGTCAGGAGCGGCAGGGAAGGAGACAGTCTGAGGAGCAGCTTCACGCCGTGCGCAAGCCTGTGACCCAGGTTCTCGGTGAGGAACGCCACGGCGCACTGAGTCCTAACAGCCGTATAAACACAGAAACGGCTTCCCACGAACACGGAGCCCCACAGTGCACACGTGTCACGCAGGAGCCCGGAGACGATGGCTGTTGATGTTTAACCCCCCAAATTTTCTCTTACCAATTCATGTTGTGTAAAATTGGGTTCATGCTGTATGTAGTTTTGTTTTTTAACTCTGAAATACTATTTCCTACTGAACATTATTCTGTCATTAAAAATTATTGAAAACAAGGTTTTGTTTTGTTGTTTTTTGAGACAGGGTCTCAACTGGTAGTTCAGGCTGGCCTTGAACTTACTATGTAACTCAGGCTGGCTTAGGGCTCATAGCGATCCTTCTGCCTCAGCCTCCTGTGTGCTGGGATTACAGGCATGTGGTACCATGCCTGGCTGAAAACATGATTTTTAATGTTGTACATTATTCTTGTATATGGAGAAAATTTTCATGACTGTTCCTTTCTTTTTGGACTTCTAGATTTTTAAAAAATTTTCAGTATTATGTATTGTGATGAATATCTTTGTTCAAACAAACATATATATATGTACTTGTCTAAATCTCAGAATTCATTTAACTGGTCCTTATGGAGGGATATTTGAGGTAGGCCCTCACCTGCAATACCGCAATGAATCTGCTGCACATCCACAGTTCTAGAAGTAGGAGTCCCGTGTTTACAGTTTTGATGGATACTGACAAATTATTGCTGTAGGGATTGTACTGGTTTCCCTTCTTGCTAACAGTGCATGAAAATGGCTCTTTTTGGTTAATATGTAGGAATGCCAGATATATTTGGCCTTTGCCTGTGACAAATGACAATACGTTCTTTAATCGCTTTGACTGCTTATGGTGATGGGTATGAAATAAAACAAATTTTTAAACTTCAATTTACATGTAAAACTAGTTCACTTGGAATTTACTGTTATGTAGTGTGAGCTGTATCCCAATACAGTTTATTGACTAACAGCCTTACCTTGCTGCCTCTTTTCATCCTCTTAGGAATTATTCACTCTTCATTTCAAATTAAATAATGATAACTCTTCCTATTATTGGTTTACATTCCTCAACTTACAAAATGCTTAGCAGAAATAACAGTACAAGAGGGACACAGCTGGGATGACCTCGGGAAACCAAACTGCTGCACCAACAGCCTGGACTCTGTGCCGGGCCTGGGCCAGTGGGGCTGCACAAGCCCGCAGTTCGGGACACTCCAGGAGAGTAAAGATCAGCAATCCGCATCCACGCCCCAGTTTCGGGCTGACTGCTGACCCAGGCCTTGACTCCCCTCTTCACCTCTGACCTACCCTGAACCCTAACCCCAGCCAAGGAGGCGGAGGGCTGTGCACGACCCAGGGAGGAGGCTGTGTGTGACGGGGAGTCTGGGTGTTTCAGCACCACGGCCTCCTCATCTCTTTGTTGTCATGCAGAAGCCACCGCAGGGCCACGGACCTGAGAGCTGAGGCTGGGGAACGCCCAGGCGCAGGCCCTTCCTTGCCTCCCATTGCAGGGGGACTGGGTACTCTGGCTGGTGTTAGTTTCCAGGGGCTGCTGTAACAGACGGCTACAGATTCAGAGGCACTTAGGGACAAGTGGATCACAAGATTCCTGTGTTACAGCTCTGGGGGTCAGGCGTCTGAAAGGAATCACGAGGGGCTACATAGAATCAACATGTCAGCAGAGCCGGTTCCTTCTGCAGAACACAGGGGAGGATCTAGGGGCTGCAAGGTCCCTGGCTCTGGGCTGTGCCACGCCCGACTGCTCCTCACGTCCTAGTTCCTTCTCTCACTCTCACCCTCTGTCTCCTGGTTACACAGACCCTGTGACTACCAGGTGCTGCACCCCTGTAATCCCAGCTATCTGGGAGGCCAACGCAAGAGGATCCCAAATTTGAGGCTAGCTTGGCTTAGCAAGACCTGGTCTCAAAACCACTAAAACAAAAACAAAAAATACCTCAGCATCCAAAATAATTAAATGTCCCTCAATCTGCTGATGCAGGGAGTCAGCATATCACACATACAGATACTTACCTTTTTACAGAGGCTAGCATGCCAGGACTGACGTGCTGACACTGAGGAGTTTTTGCCAGTGGGAAAATAACCGATGATGGAGTTGCTGGATTTTTGTTCATAGCTGGCAGAATGTCATCACCATTTTGACTCTCCCAGAAACTCGGCAACTAGAAAACAAATCGGGCAGAATTTCATTATCATCTTGACAAGAGGAAAATATTGTCAGCATACACCTGTAAAAATGAATTTTATTATTATCACAAAATGATTTCTGGTGCGCTAAGTTGTTTTCCTTATAATTCCCCAGATTAGATAATTTTTATTTTATTTTATTTTTTTGGTTTTTCTCTGGTACCGGGAACTGAACTCACGACCTTGCGCTTGCCAGGCAGGCGCTTTTGCCGCTGAGCTAAATCCCCAGCCCCCAAATTAGATAATTTTTAAAAGTAGCAGACAGATGACAGCCTTAGTTCCTAAGAAACCAATTTTTCCTTCTGCAAAATGGAGACAATGACACCCATTTGTAAAGGCTGCGTAGGCCAGAGACAGGCAAGTATTTTCTGCAAAGAGATCTGTCAGTGTCGCATGAAAAGAGCCATAGACAATTTGTACACAAATGGGCATCGCCGTGATCCAATAAAAGTCTGTTTGGAAAAACAGGCAATAGGTTGAATGTGGCCCACAGACCAGAGACAAAACAGGACTCCTCAGTGTCGGCACGTAATTTATTAACTATGGTGCTTGCTAGTTAACAGGTACTCAACCCGCACTAACCCTCTGTGTGTATGAACAATTCAGTCCTTAAGATTTTACTTGAACTTCATATTAAAATAGTAGACACACTATAGACAATAGCTAATTCGTTGCTTTCGATGTTACTATTGCCTTAGCGCCACATGTACACGTTTGGGACATGAAGTGATGGTGGGATAACATAAGGGATATAATTCCTCATGAACCATGGTGCAGTGAAGGGAACCTGTATGGGCCTCAGATCACTGGCTTAAAATAACCTTCTGTAACTTGTGTAAATACAAAGGAGACTGAAATAATGCTATCACTCCTCCATATAAAGCACTAGACAGCCTTTTAAAAGGCAGAAGATTTATACGATCTTAAGAGAAACCAGAGTATACACAGCCTTTTAAAACTGAAGATGACTGAATGAGAATATTGAGAAAGTGGTAGCTAAAAAAAACCTTTTAAGTCTGGTTCACTAATCCAAATCTTTAAATTTTTACACTTAACCCAGTTATGCCTAAGACTGAAATGTTTTAAATTTTTGCATGAAATTCATGTATGTTACTTAGAAAAATTCATGGAACAAGGATTTGAAGAGAAAACATTTCATTATGTTCCATTGTTATGGGAATTCCAAAAATGGATCTCTAGGCATTGCAGGTGATAACCATTAGAGATACAGAGATAACCATTAGATTCTAGAAATAATCTTAAATTTGCACTTGACATTTGTATTACGTTTCACTGTAGGTGAAATAAACTTTTATTGGATACGTAAATTGTTTCCAGGTTTTGAACTTAAAATGAATCTTTATAAATCTTTTAGTCTTTTGGATTTCTTAGGATAAACTCAAAAACAGAGTAATATTCATGACTTTTGGAATACATTACCGTAATGATTTCTGAAAGGTATGAATGTGTTGATGCCTCCACTGATATGTGACTACACCATCAGATTTGCTTTTGATAGTGGAGATATTTTAACTTATTTTTTTAAAAAAGATTCTTTAATTTAGAAGGTATACATACAGTTTATTTTGTTCTATTACTAGGAAAAATGATCACTTCCTCAAATGTTTCTTTGGCCTTTTAAATTTCTTGTCTACTTTTTTCTGTGATCTTGATACTTTATTATTCCAGTGACATTTGATTTCTGTATATTAGAGATATTGACAGTGATGTATTTGTTGCCAATATTTTATGAGAATCACTAGTTTTTATTCATCCTACTTTTCAAAAAACAAAGATTTTATAACCTTAAGAAAGTGATGCCTTATAGCATATTAATTTTTATTGACTGATTAAGACAGAGAGTCTCACTATGTTGTCTGGGCTGGCTTTGAACTCACTATGTAGTCCTGGTCTTGCACTCACAGCAATCCTCCTGCCTCAGTTTCCCAGGTGCTGAGATTATAGATATGCGCTACCATGCCTAGCTAGTATTTTGTTTTTAAATTGATAGTATTTTTACCTATTTATGTAATACAGTGATTATAATTCGGTACATGTATACAATGCATAATGATCAAAATCAGAGTAATTAGCATTTCCATTTCCAAAATTAGCATTTCTACATGGTGGTCTAGAATATAGGTCAACTCCAATGTTTCTCTGCTTTTTTAATTTGGATGATTTATCCACTGATGAAAATTGCCAACTACTGTTATTACTGTAGCCAGCATTATACTATCCCTTTAGACTTAATAATGTTTGCTTCATATAACTGGGTCTTCTGGCATTAAGATATTAATAGGATATTGATTGTATTGTATTTGTTGCCAATATTTTATGCCAATCACTAGTTTTTATTTATGCTACTTTTCAAAAATCAAAGATTTTTAGGTCTTTAAAAAAGTGTTGCCTTATAGCATATTAATTGTTATTGATTGATTAAGACAGGGTCTATGTTGTTCAGGCTGGGCATATATATATATATGTGTGTATGTGTGTGTGTGTGTGTTTATAACTGTTACTTCCTTTTGTTCAACTGATTTATCATACAGTGACATTCTTTGTCCTTTTTGGGCTTTCTAACTTAAAGTCTTGCGTCTGACATAGGTATGCTATTCCTGCTCACTTTTTTCCCACTGGCGTGGAATACTTTTTCCTAACCATTTAATCTATATGGGGCATACTGGTAAAATTTGTTCTAGTTAGCATATAGTTGGGTCATTTTTATCCATTTAGCCACTCTGTATCTTTTGACTGAGGTTAACAATTAAGCTTAACATTAATAAAAGTTTATTCCTCCTGCCATTTTGCTAATTGATTTTTTTTTTTTGGTTTTTCTCCGGTACCAGGGCTAATTGATTTTTTGATTGTCCTTTGTTCCTTTCCATCTCATTATTTTTGTGGTCTGGTGGTTTCTTGTAGCCTAGGATTCGATTCCTTTCTCTTTTTCATTTACACATCTGCTTTACCAGTGAGCTTTAGATTTTTGCATTTTTTTACAATACAGTAGTTATTCTTTCATTTTTAGATGTTGTATTCCTTTATGTATTTCTTAGAGGGGCTATATAGCAGTGATTTTCTTTTTTTGTCTTAGAAAGTTATTATTTCCCCTTCACTTAAAGAATAGGTTTACTCAGTATGCTAACCTTGGTTGATATATATATTTTTTTCTTTTAGAATGCTGAATATATTATTGTATTCTCGCCTATAAGATTTATTCTATCTTAAGGTTTCTACTAAGAAAGCTGCTGTTGGTCTAATGGGGTTCCCTTAAATGTGACCTAGTATTTTCTCTTGCTGTTTTTACAATGCTCTTTGTCTTGGACTTTTGTCAGTTTGAACATCATATGCAAGGGAGAGGATGTAAAAACATCTTAAGTCTCCTGGACATGTATGTTCTTATCTTCCCCAAAATTAGGGAAATTTTGGGCGAGTATTTTATTGACTCGTTTTTCTGTTCCCTTTCTTTTCTCTCTACCTTTCGGAAGCCCATAATTTGAATATTTTTCACTTAATGGCATGCCGTAGGTCTTAGAGGCTCTCTCTCTTCCTTTTTCCTTTTCTTTTTATCTGACTGCAGTATTCAAACATATTTTTCTAAGTTAAAAAATTCTTCTTTTTGTTTCATCTAGTATGTTGAAGTTCTCAACTTAATTTTTTTTGACCTAATGAGTTTTTCAGATCCAAGATTTCTGGCTTCTTCCTTTTTGTGAACTCATCTCCTTGCTGAATTTCTTACTCATAGCAATAGCTATTTTCTTATTTTCACTGGACTGTCTGCTGTATTCTCTTGTACCTCACTGAATTTACTTAGGCTCATTTTTTTGAATTCTTTGAGGCAAGTCATCAATATCCTTTTCTGTGGGGTCTTTTGTGTTCCTTTGGAGGTGTCATATTATCTTGATTTTTTTCATACTTCTTATGCTCCTACACTGCTTTTCCTGCATTTGGCAGGTCAGGTGATTCTACACTTGTATGAGTTTTCATAGAAGGCTTCCTCCAGATATACTGGTTTTTGTTTTGTTGGTAGTAGATGTTTTTGGTACTGGAAATTGAACCCTCGGACTTCACAATGAGCTATATCCCCAGCTCTTTGTATGTTTTAAATTTTGAAGCAGGATCTTGTTAAGTCATTAAGTTGCCCAGAGTGGGCTCAAACTTATGTTCCTGCTGCCTCAGAATCCCAAATTGCTGAGGGTGCAGGCATGCGCCACTACTCCTGGCTCGGGCTGGCTTTCTGAGACAGGGTCTCGTTATATAGTCCAGGCTGGTGCTGACCTTGATGATCTTCCTGCTCAGCCTCTTGCGCTGGAGCTTCAGATGTGTGCACCTCGCCCAGCTCCCCACATGTGTTTTAGGGCTTTGGCTCCAGGTGAGCCCTCCTGTGACTATTTCAGAGGTAATAAATGCCTGTGTGCGCACAGCAGGGCGGCTGGAGAGCCTATCTACGAGGGCCGCACAGAGGCAGAGGCGCTCTAGTGGCCCAGGCAACACCCTAGCGGGTCTGTGGCTAAGTGTGTGGCCGCCTGCAGTGGCAGCAGTGGCTTTAGGAACACAGCACAGTGCAACACCACAGGCACACGCTCTGCTGTCGGCAGGGGCATGCAGCAATGGTAGTGGCAGCGGCGCTGGGGTGTGAGATGTGCGCCCTCGCCAAAGGCGCGGTGGGGCTCACGGCCCGGCCCAGCGGCACTGGACACCTGTCCCTTGTCGTGAGGGCACTGTGCAGGCCCGGGTGCTGCAGCCCCAGCAGAGCTCTGGGCTTAGTTAGGTTTGTGACGCGGCAGACTCCTGTCCTCGTGTGGTGGAACATCGGTGGGACCTGGGGCGTGAGATGCATTGAGGCTCTGTCTCCTAGGGCCGTACGAATTCTGACGGCGACTCTGTCCTCAGGACAGCGCCAAGCTGCAGCGGTCTGGGCTCCTGACGTGCAGTTATCTACCTGCTGCTTTGGCCGTCTTTATGGAGGAAGAGGTGAGAGCTGGGCACCTCTGTTCCACCATTTGGAATCTTCTTAAAATTTAAGTACCTATGTTTGGCTTATTTGTTTTCTATTTAGTTTTACAAACTTTCCCTTTCAACCACTGAGGGCAGACATTAGAAACCAGTGAGAACGGCAGGATCCAGCAGACTGCTTCCTGAACTATGCTTTGGTCAAGTTTATGGAGGACACTGCTATTTGGCCGAAATATTAGCGATGCACACTAAGCATACACACACGCGAAGGATGCAGCAGTGAATATAGGTAAAGCAAACAGCAGTTTCATGCATGTGACACTCTTACCAGTACTCTCTGATTACGCAAAGGTGTTGCACTGAAAAAATCGTCATGGTCATCTTTTGGCATCTGTTCCAGAAAATCCCTCATTTGTTGCTTCCTTTTAAGTGTGCCCACTTTGGCAGTTATCTGAACGGTCTTCATCTTGTTAGCACTGTCTCTCTCACCTTAAGAGTCAATAAGATATTCTGATAAGGATTTGATCATTTACAGTAACTGCTTTATAAACTTACAGCCTCTGTTATTTTAAAAGCTTCCCTATAGCAAATGATTCCACACTGAGATCTGTGCAGCGTAATTAGCCCACATGACAATCACGAAGATCCGGCGGGGTGGGAATGCAACTGTCACTATGATGTGACCAAGGTGACACCCCACCCTTTCACGACTGAGTGCCGGATTGATTTATTTCACTACAATATAAACCTCAGCGAACTATGCTAGGCTACTAAGTACTCTCTAAAGCTTACTGTAGGACTTTTCGGACATAAAACACCTTTTACTAGGAACTACCGACAGCAGCGTGTAATCCTGGGACTATGGAAACTGAAGTTACTCTCCTTTTCTTCATGAATTACTAGAGGGTCTTAATCAAATCGCTGTAAATTAAATTAGACAGAGCAATATTCACAAATTGAAATCTCTGTATCCAATTTCACATTTTCTAGAGCAAAGTCATAGCACAAGAGTACTAAACTACTACTGATGGAAGTAGCTACCTAGATTAAGACTTAAAAAATTAAACACGATCTCTGAAGTTCTTTTGAGCTTTCATATTTTTAAGAAAACACCTATAACAAGATTCATGGACAAATATAAAATATAGCTGCTGAGTAATCAGAAACCTACAGGGGAAGTACTAGGAAAACACTATTACAAACGTTACCATCTTGGCCTTTGGCAGTGGCTTGCTTTCTCTTGGTGGTATTTTTCTGAGATACTTTTCCTTGAGAATCTTCTATGTATTTCTTCTGGCATTCTTTAGCAGTTCGAGAACCTACCACCAGAGCTACCTCGGACCAGAAACCAGGTTTGTGCTTTGGAAGAGAGGCAAACGCACTACGGAAGACCAAAAAGAGTTAAAAAACAAGAAATTTGAATCAATAGAAGTAAACTTCTAAAGGCATAAGGAAACACCGAGCTAACAAGATTTCCTGGGCTGGAGGAATTTTAGCAAAAGTTATTCTAGATAACTATTTGGAAAAAAAAAAAAACAACAAAACACCACTATTCCCTTTACTAAGTAACTTACTCTAGTCCTTCAAATATGAAGATTCATTTTACATATTAAGTGATGCCGTCTAGTTCTTTTGTTGTACTGTATAAAAACTGAAAACTTTGCCCTTCTTTCAACGTTTTTTTTTCTTTTTCTTTTTTTGAGACAAGGTCTATGTAGCCCAGGCTGGCCTCAAACTCTTTTTTTTTTTGGTTTTTCTCCGGTACCAGGAACCGAACTCACGACCTTGCGCTTGCCAGGCAGGCGCTTTGCCGCTGAGCTAAATCCCCAGCCCCTCAAACTCTTGATTCTCTTGCTTCAGCACCTCGAGGATTACACAGGGATCTGCCATATGTTCAGTGATTTGAAATTCTGGGGATCCCTGGCATGATTGTACAGTGTTTCTGAACTCTTACTGGTGCAAAGTATGCCAGGAAATAAACTCTTAGTTCTTAAGTAGTCAAGGTTATGAACTCTTTATCAGCAAGTTTTCTATTTGGGAGGGATGGGAAGTAAGGGGGGATGGATATGATCAGTGTATGATGTAGGCATGTATCACTCTCACAGTAAATCCTATTAACAATGTATTAACAATAATAAAAAGAAACTAAAGGTTGAGCATCTACTATCTGAAAAAAGTTTTATGCTTGATTTCTTGTACTCTTAATTTGTATACCTCAATATTTTATTTTACTTTTTGAGTCAGGGTCTCACTATGTAGTTCCGACTGGCCTTAGACTTATTATGTAACTCAGGCTGGGCTCAGACTTGTGGCCATCCTCCTGCCTCAGCCACCTGAGTGCTAGGATTATAGGTGTACCCCACCATGGTTGGCTCACCTCAGTATTTTAGAAAATAATGATCTCAATTGAGTAAAACAAATGAAAACGAAATTCCTAAACCTAATATAGTTCCTAATTCAACATATGAATTACTTTCAAAAAGTTCACTTAGAAATGATTGTTCACAATCTGGTATACATGCTACCATCCCCACCTACAATAAAAAAATGATATTACTGAGAGTAGCCTGAAATATTTAACCCGAAAATATCTATTTAAATCACCAATTAGCCTTAAAATGGTACAGGTTGAGTATCTCATACAAAATGCTTTAAGCCAGAAATGTTTCAGATTTTGGATTTTAGGATATTTGTACATATAGAATGAGAGATTTTGGGGGGAAGGACTGAAGCCTGGACAACAAATTTGTTTCATACATAGCTAGTACCCACAGACCAAAAGGTTTCTGTTTGATTTGCCATGCTGGTTACTGGACTCAGGGCCTCATACATGTTAGGCAAGCACTCTACCACTGAGCTACATCTTCCCACCAAAGATGTAAGGTTGAACTTTTATACCGTATTTTTAGTATGCCTGTCACCCATCCATCACAGGAGGTCAGGGGTGGAATTCTACACCTGTGGCATTTGTCAGCACTCAAAAAGTTGTGGTTTTGGAGTATTTCTGATTTTTTGATTAGGGACATTAGTCTGTACTAAAATGTTACTTCAATTATGTCTTTAGTTTACTGTTTCTTTGACAAAACATACAGTGGGCTTCCATATTCCTGGCTCCACATCCACAGATGCCTGAAAATATTCAGGGAAAAAAATGCATCTATACTGAACACACACATATTTTTCTTATTTTCATTTCCTAAGCAATACACTATAGCTATTTACATTCTATTCAACATTGTAAGTAGTTAGAGACCATTTAAAGTATACACTATAGGAGGACTGTGTAGACTATATGCAAATACCACACAATTGTATACAAGGGACTTAAACACCTACAGGTTTTGGTATCACAACTGGTATCCTGGAATTAATCTCCCACATATACGGAAGGTTGAATATATTTTTACTTCAATTCAGATCCCAATTTGTAGGCATATGTTTTACACAGTGGTATGGTGGCAAATTTTTATTCAGCTCGCTAGGTTAAAAAGCTCTGAAGTATTGTGTCTGTCACTTTCCCTATGGTCAGCATTCCCAGGGTGGTTGATAAGCCTGACCTCGCGGAAGGTGATGAATGCATAGGAAGTGCGTGCTGGCACACTGCTACTATATACTATTTTCACCATTCCTAGATGTAGAACCAAACCTCAAGGAAGTGATGAGTTTTGGGCACTGCCTTTGATTTTATTATTTCATTCCAAGTTAACATAATTAAATTTTTAATGAAGATTTCAACCCAGTAGGTCTGAGACAGCAGTAATCTGCATTTTTCACAAACTTCTCAGGTAACTCTTTTGCTGTGCAGTCAGGATTGGAATTGCTTTTTATTGTTTATAGGAGACATCACTCTAAGTAGTAGGAACAGGTGACAACTACGAAGGGTTTCAGGAAGGAGGTGATCGGTAAGAGGCTGTTCTCTCTGAGTTTTAGGTATGCTGAACCTCAGCTGATGTTACTGTAGCCCCGGGGGGACTGTAAGGGACTACTAAAAGAGAGAGGGAAAATAAAGAGAACTATTGGGTTTCTCCTACTTTTGAGTTCCTGCTCAGCCCAGAACTGAACAGCTTTGATGCGAACTCTCTTTGTGCCTCAATACCTACTTTGAGCTTTGTGCTAGCCTTGAACCTAACTCAGGGATAAAAGAGGAAAAATTAGAAACTTACTGCTGTCCTGGTGGCACTTAACATTCTAGCTTTCTCCTATCAACTCATTACGATTTATTTCCTAAACTGACAAAAACCTGTTCATGCAGCCTACCCAGATTTGACAGCTGCACAGAAAAATGGTGGAGCACACTTATTCCACCTCTGGGAACTAAAATCCGTGCAGTCCAGGCATTTAAAAAAGTCTCTCGAGGTGATTTCAATAAACAGTAAAGCGGGGCTGGGGATTTAGCTCAGTGGCAAAGCGCCTGCCTGGCAAGCGCAAGGTCGTAAGTTCGGTTCCCGGTACCGGAGAAAAACCAAAAAAAAAACACAAAACAGTAAAGGTTAAGAATTTTTATTATGAGGAAATAATGAGGGATACAGCTGGAAAAGATAAAATCAATACATGGTATGCTCTTGATGCAAGCAGAACCATCAGTACATAAGCTGAAGATCAGTGAAAATCCAATGAAGATCTATTAGAGATTAATAGAAGATTAATCTGGATATATTGAAGGTTACTGCTACCTAGCATACACTAGGTTCTATACCTAGTACTGCAAAAGCAAAAACAGAAACAAACAAGAAAAAAAAAATCCAAAACGCTACTTCTACAATTTAGACAAAAGCATCAAAGGTCTGAATATAAAATATCAAAAAAAAAAAAAAAAATACATTGCAGATAGAATAGCTCTTTGCCAACTAATTAAAATTTTCTTTTAAAAAAATCAACAATGACAAAGAGCTTAAACCTAGTTGATGGAAAGAATTATAGTTCTAGAAATAAAAATGAGCAGGCAAAGTACGTGGAAACATGGGAAAATAAGGTTCTCTGCCTTTACTATATTATATCAGATCAACTAGGAAATACGAGACTTCAGCAGGGCATGGCGGCACACGCTTATAATCCTAGGTATTTAGAAAGCTGGGGTAGGGGACTGCAAGTTATAGTCCAGCCTGGGCAACTGAATGATAACCTGTCTTAAAAATAAAAAGGTCTGGGGACGTGAGTCCCTGGGTTCAAACCCCAGTATGGGGGGAAACATTCAGGGCTACATATTCTGTCTTTGGTGTCACTGTACAAAGGGGAAAGTTTGAAGTCTGGGAGGACGAAGATCTCTGAGTGGGCATCATAGCAAAAAGCAGCCAAGAACTTTGGAAAGAAGAAGATTCACTTCTCTGCCTAAAAGTGAGAGGAAAAACATCTGAGAACTGAGGACAAAATCATGGAGATGCGCTAGGAAAAATGTTTCAAGAAAATAGATTTGAAAGGAACCCCAAATGATGTAAAGTTGCAGGGCTTCACAGGCAAAGAACACTGCATGTGGACCGTGTCTGTCACCCTCCACTCCTTTACCAATCACATATTCCCTTCTGCCCACCAGCTCATCTGCTCCGCCACAACGCTACACTCCGGCATCAGCCATTGTTGGCTCCGAGAGAGGGAGCCAGCAATATAACCCTTGTCATCACATGTCCTTCCACTGCGCCGAGCTTTTCCACTCCCCATATATGCCATATCTGTTGGGTGCTCCCCCAGGCTGTCTTCTTTCTTTACCCTCCCATGCACTCTTCATCACTCAGTTACGATCTGGTTTCCGTAAGACTACACTCCTGAAACTGCCTGTCAAGTCTATGTAGCCATATCCAATTCTAATCAGACCTGATTTGTCAGAAGTAATACACACAACAAATCGCACTTAGTGAAAACAGCACTAAAAAGCTACCGGCATCACTACAGCGATAATCCCTAGAAGTCACCCAATCAGCCCCTTTCCATGTATTTAACTGCTTGCAGTCACTGTGTATATATTCCAGAGTCAAGTCTAACTACTTACCAGTGAAGTTTCTGCAGTTCTTTCTCATCCCATTCCTCATCCTGATTTGAGCCGGATAAACATCCTAAGGAATGCTTGCTAGTTCTGTCAGATCCCGCTGGCTCAACTGAAGACTCATGCCTGACACCGCATCCCAGAAGCGTTTCCTTAGCAGAAGACCTGGCTTTCTTGTGTTTGCTGGGATACTCCGTCTTACTTTCCTCCGTGTCAGATTCCGAAGTCACGACGACATTCCTTGAGGTGCTTTTTTGGCTTTTGCTCAGGTGAGCAACTGTTTCTTTGTTATTTCTTGCTCTCAGTCTCTTAACTCTTGCTTTCCTTCTAATTTCCTTTTCGGTCTCACTCTCTTCACTTGACAAATCTGATGAGGACTGACGGTTATAAAACGGCACAGCTGCTTGATCTTCAATTTTCTTCAATTTTGATGGCAGCCTGATATTTTTCTTGAAGTCTTGAACGCCCATGTGTTTGTTTCTGGAGTTAGGTATTTTTATTTTCTGGTTGACAGTGAGTAAGTCACGTTCAGTGCAGTCTTCCTTGCTGTTGCTTTTCTGATCCACACTGTACTCAGACGTGCTTTCTAAAGCCCCTGCGGACTTATCGGTGGGACTTTCATTTGAGTCTGGCTCATGTTTTTCTTGATGCTTTTGCACTGGAAAATCTGTTGTTGCTTTAGCGCTGTTATAGGACAGATTATACTTCAGGCATCTTTTCTCTATCCCCTTTCTAGTTTTAAGCGGCGTTACTAAAATACAAGCTTCTTTCTGATTGATAGTCACGTATTTTCTTTCCTCAGCCAAAGCAAAGTGTTCCCGTGAAGTCAAAATATCAATAGATACATTTGAGTCTTCAGTTCCCCCTTTAACTTCGTAAGACAAAACCAAAGCCCAAAATCTTAAATTAGCCATAAACGCATTTAAGTGTAAGAAAAATATTTTCACAAATAAAATTTACTTTATTTCAAAAGTCCTGCTGTATACTTTATTGCCCTATTATCTTCCTGAGGCACAGATCTATTCAGATCACCACCCTGTCAACTATAAACATGCACAACTATTACACAAACCCATCAATGATGTCTTGTTGTCTACTGTAATACATATAGGCTCTTCCACCTGGTTTTCTATTTCCAATCTTTCCCTGTCCTCAAATATGAACCATATTCTAGGTTTATTAAACCACTGAATGATTCTCAAATTTGCTCTGTTCTTAACTTTCATTAATGCTTATTCTACTTCAAAATTTCCTTTGGTTAACAAACTGAATCACTATATGCTTTGATTTTGTTCACTAACCAACTTAGCCCACTAACTTTGCCCTGATTTCCCTCAACTGAATGAAAGTTCATTAAATTTTCCATTCAACTTCCAGAGTACTTTTCAATAATCTCATATTTGATAATGTGTCCTATATTACAACTGCACATTAGGCATATCTTTTAATTAGACTGGAAAAATATTATGAATGATAAGAACTTTATTTTCATGTTTAGCTATTTTGGCCAATGTTAATAAGGGTGAAAATGTTTGTTAAATCAATTCCTGGAGGTCAAATATTTAGGAGACATAAGAACAACACCAGTCACTAAAGCCTTACCAGGCATGTAGTGCTGACATACTAGATAAAAATGGGAGTAAAAGGAAATGGAACCCTTCTGTACATTTCCACTTTCACCTGGAGGGTAGCCCTGAAGGCACACATCAGTTGAAGCTCCCCAAACTCTATGAATTATGGGAAAATAACAAGATGGAACAACCTGAGAAGTTTTATTATTTCAGGTCTCTAAAGAAAGCAAATTAAAATAAGTGCAGTTTTCTAATTTGAAACTTAAGATACTAGAAGCTAAACTAAAATTCTAACTTTTAAACAGTCCAAATGTAATTATAAATACATGTAACGTATCATGCCAATCATCACAATGAAATACAGCAACAACCTACACATACTATGTGTCTTTGTTTACAGCATGAACAACAAATTGAAAGACTAATGGATACTACTGAAGGCTGGCGAAAAGAAACCTCTAAATTATAATTTAAGAGAAGTGGTAGTAATCAAAAAAGTAGTAAAAAGTTTCTACAAGTTTTATTTACAGCCATCATATATCTTCAATGTTTTTGCTGTTGTTTTGTTTTTGGTCTTTTGAGACAAGATCTTGTTAATGTAGCTCCGGCTAGTCTAGAACTCACCAGGTATCTCAGGCTGGCACCCAACACACAGAGATCTTCCTGCTTCAGCCTCCCAAATGTTGGGACTATAACAAGTGCTACCACACCTGGCTTACATCTCCAAATTATGAGGAAAGTGCTTTCTTCTAACTCTTCATTAACTTTAACAAGTGTTCAATTTCAAATTCAAAAATTTTAAACGTTCTGATTTTGAACAAAACACTGCTATTCAGATTTAAAAATCATTTCATTACATAATCTGAATAATAACTCAACCCATTCTAGATTCTTTCATCTAATTTGTATGAATTTGGTAGTTGAAGCAATATTGCTTTCCTGGTCTCTTCTTTGAATGCTTATGAATGTTCTTCATTTTCACTTCTTTTTAGTTATAGAAAAAAATTAGAAAAATGCTATTAGACTGGTGGATTTAACTCCACATGAAATCTTGAGCTTGCTACTATTTGCAGAAAGGGCTATGTAATTTTTGGTATACATGACTTCAACAAATCACTCGGAAAACCCACACACAACAAACTATGGTATTAATTTCATAAAAAGAATCAGACTTTAAACATTTCTGTAAATATATTTAAAATGCTGTATATTTTATGATCTAAATAATAGGCACCCAAAATAATTAAAAATAAATAATAATTTAGTACCCAAATTAGAGAAGAGATACCTGCAAATAATGTGGCACTTAAAGTAATACGTTACTTCATTATGTAAATCATTTTATGTCAAAATAACAAAACCTAGCCTTTAAAAACATTAAAACACTTTACCACTTTAGAGTAGAAAATTTTTAAGATCACCTTTATCATATTAAAAACATTTCAAATAGTAGCTTCCTACTTCTCATTAGAGTACATTACCTTGTTTCTGACTTTTAGTTATCCTTTCATTTATTCCTTCACAATTTTTGAGTTTCTTTGAAGACATATTTTTACACTCTCTTTTGCCAATTAATTCCTTCAAAACAAAATGAAAAGAACTTGCTTTCATTTTAACAACCACTATTTAAACATGATCTGAAACATTTTTACAGCATGCATCAAACATACAAAACTGTAATGCTTCTGATTCTATAAATTCTATTGGTGTAGACATTTAGAAACTCATTTGCTCTGCTTGACCTTCAGAAGTACATTCTGGGTATCCACTATCCACTAGCTTGTATAATTTCTTTATTCATTTAATACAATGTGGGTTTTCAAGTTCTTTTTATATACTTTATTTTTATCTAAGCTTTAGTCTAAAAGCTAAAACTTTTGTTATTTTGGCAGGTACTTTTTCAATGAAAGTCTGGGAAAATAAGTTACTTCCTTACAGTTTCAAAATTAATGAAAGGGTATCAAAATTATAGGAAAATTACAATAGAACAACATGGAAAGAGCATTTCAAAACGGAGTCCGAAGGCCTTAAAGAGGGAAGCAAGTACACAGGATGGACTCTGGTTATCTTCTGACTGGGGCAGCTGGAACAGACAGCTACATTGTACACGTTACCAGACATCTTTACTAAGCATATACCTTGGTTTCTTTATTTTCTTTTGGTCACATAGCTCTTGTCCCAAGCATGTTTTGAGGCTTCCTCACAAAGAATTTTCACTGGGTTGTAGTAAATCAACACCTATTTGCTCAGCATAAGTGCTCACTTTCCAGCCTTCTTGGGAACACTGACTCTGAGCTACCTCAATCTGTTTCCAGAAGAGTAATTTCTGAGTCTAAAGTCCTTTTTCACTTTTGCAGTTTCTAAGTTCAGACTGATTGATAAAATTATTACTTATAAAACAAAACGTGCCTTGTAAACATCAAACAACATATAGTAAGTAATTCCTTACCTGATTAGGTAAGTCATCGCCTCCTACACTGACAACAGTTTTGTGTACTTGGTCCTGTGGGAGCATCGCTGGTGGTTTACTCTGATAATTACTGGAGCTGACATTTACTTTTGTAGTTCTAGGCAACCCTCTTTGCTCATTACTTTTCAGTTCTGTGAGTACAAACATGGAGAATGCAAGCACAAAATATGGAGAACTCAGTCAGTTATTACATAAAAGGTAAACTGCATTTATTTATTTATTTACTTAATTAGGTACCGGGAATCAAACTCAGGAAGTTGCACTTGCCAGGTAGATGCTGCGCCGCTGAGTTTTATCCCCGGCACTACTTTTATAAAAGAGCTAACTTTAAAAAAATCTGTCTAATCCAGTATCACATTCATGTGATTTTATTATGATGAAACCAATTTCACTGGACAGAATCACTCTGTATAGGGTCTTGCATGATATTTAAAATACTTGCACAGTTTTATAAACAAAGATCTAAGAAATCATAGTAGGAAAATGATACAGCCATAATAAAATACAATAGCATCTGTCCCTCAACTGAGCTTCCTGAAGGAAGGTATCAATGTTTTATTTGTCCCTAAGTTCCTAAAACTTAACATAGATCAAGTTCTTTAGAAAGTGCTTTATTTATTTTTTAAATTTTAATTTATTAGTGCATGTTTGTGACGCAGTGACTACTTTCACTGTGGGTGTGTGGAACATGCACACGACACCTCTTCGTTCTCCTTTTACAACCCTTCTTCCTGCTCCACTTTCCCCTCTCCTCACTTCCCAGTACCCTTCCCATCTGCAGTAGATCTATCTCCCTGTTTCATCTGTCTTTTATTTTGTTCTTTTTTATTTATACTTGACTTATCATATGAGAAATAATACAGTATTTAAGCTTGTATGATTTACTTCACTTAACATTATGTTTTCAAGATATATCCATTTTTCTATGAATGCCTCAAATTATCCTTTACAGTAGAGTAGTACTCTATTGTGTATAAATACATTTTATCTATTCATCTTTTGACGGACATATAGGCTGCTTCCAAGATTTAGCTATTGAGTTGTGCTGCTATAAACATGGGTATGTGTGTATCACTATGATATGATATCTTTAACTCTTCTAGGAAGATATCTAGAAGAGGAGTAGCTGGGTTGAATGGAATCCTGTTTTCAGATTTTTGAGGAATTCCCACCATTATGGAAATCAGTATAGAGAAGGAGCTTTACAATTGAGTGATTATCAAATCTACACATTTAGCTCCAATTCCTAAAATGTACTGCTGGGGGATCGGTAAGATCTAAACACAAGATTAACAAATAATAAGTAGAGACAGTCAATAGCAGGTCCCGTGGTCCCGGGACTCGAATACTCAAATAGTCTAGCAATGACAATAAGGAGTACAGCTTATTTAGGGGAAATAGGTGAGTTTTTGTTTTTTGTTTTAGTACTAAGGATTGAACCCAGGACCTTTGCACTGAGCTGTATCCCCAACTCCTCTCTTTAAAAAAAAAAATTAAGATGGTGTTTGTTAAGTTGCTGAGCTGCTCAGGCCAGGCTTGAACTTACAATGTTCCTGCCTACTGCTGTCAGAGTGCTGGGATTACAAGCCTGTACCACCATGCCCAGCAAGGTGACTTGTGATAACTAAGGGTTGAGAAGGAACTGAAGCTATGCTAAGTGATCTTTTGCTAGCTCTGGGCAAGCTGCCATCTACAGGTTAAATTCTTCCTTTCTTCGTACCAAAGAGGATAAGCAAAGTTGCAAGGAAGTGAGTACAGTAACAGCCAGGGAGGGAGTGGTTAGAATGAGGTACAGGTACATTTATATCCAATATGTGCTGTGTGTGTGTGTGTGTGTGTGTGTGTGTGTGTGTGTGTGTGACTAGGGATTAAATCCAGGTCCTTGTGTTAGGCAACTGTTCCACTAGGCTGTATCCCCAGACCTTTTTTATTTTGAGAAAAGGTTTTGGTAAGTTGCTAAATTGTTTAGGATGGGCTTGCACTTGTGATCCTGCTGCCTTAGCCTTCTAGAGTCCTGGGATTACAAGCGTGGGCCACCATGCCTGGCTCCCTAGCCCTTTTTAAATTTTATTTTGAAACAGCATCTCACTAAATTGCTGAAGCTGGCCTTGAACGGAGAATCCTCCTGCCTTTGAGCAGCTGGGATTACAGACACTTGCCATCATACCCAGTTTAGTGCTGTTTTTGATAGAAGTAATCTTGAACTCAAACTTTATACTTAAGAATTAATTTTTGCATGAGTTTTACAGCTTGTAGTTTACAAGGACAAGGTAAAATTTAAAGACATGTATACATGTATGTAACAGGTTTTAGTAACGTTTACTCATCTATATTATTTAGAAATGGCCGTAATTAATGTTTACATAACCCGCGGGTGAGAGTGGCACGTGAGGCAGGTTATAGTGTTGGCAAAGAGCTGACACAGAGCTCTGCCGGTTCCCCACATAGCAAAGGCCAGTCATGGAAACATGCCGTTTCCTCCTTGAAAACAAGCTGCTTTTTCCTATTAGGAGGGAGAAAAATTTAGCATAATAATTTCCAGGTTTTTACTACAGATTTGGGGTGGATTGGCAGCCTAAACACCTTGTATCTAGGAAACTAAAAGAATAATTACCTTTTATTAACATGTTTATCAGTGGATAGGTGTTCGTCAGTATTTTAATTAATGAAAAGGTTTATTTAATGACGTTAGCTGAAAGGTAACTGTGACCTATCTGAATCAGTTACTTCAGTAGTGAAAAAAGCAGAACTTTTCTGTGTGGTAGTAGAGGTTGAACCCAGGGCTTTTGTACTGAGCTACATTCCCAGCCCTTTCTTATTTTTCATTTTGCAACAAGATCTTGCTAAGTCACAAAGTTCCCCAGGTCAGGCCTGAACCTGTGATCCACCTGCCTCAGCCTTCCAGAGTGCTGGAATGACAGGTGTGTGCCTTTCTTTAAAAAAAAAAAAAAAGGAAAAAGAAAAACGCAGTACTTTTAGGGCAGTACAGGCCAAAGAACACAATACCATATATACAACATATAACGTAGTCTATGTAAGAATTTATCACTACGCCCAAGGAAAAACAAGAGCAAACATACCAAAGTTACCACAATCATGGCCGTAAGTGGTGCTGGTCGTCTGAAGGTCATCTGTTTGGTTTTCTGCACCATTTTTCACAGACAGAGCAGGGACAGAGCTCATGGTTTTCTGTTTTTCTCTGGTCTTTTTCCTTTTCCCTTCATCAGCCCTAAAAACATGTATTTTTCCTTTGATAATGATGTTCAGAAATATTATTTTTCTCTAATATTGTAAATGAATAAAAAAGGGAAGTCCCTCACATACAACTCTTTTTCTCCTTCCAGACAAGAGTATCTTTAATGTTGTACTTTTAATCCGTTGAGCTTTCCACCCCCTCCTCCCCCAAAAATTCAAGTACAACTTCCTAAATACTTCTAACTCCATTTTCTTATAGTTCCTACTTAAGCTGATACTGTAAGAAAACTATGGGGCAAATGCTCCCAGTTGCCAACTTCTGTCAATAACGTTTACTGAAACATAGCCATGTTCGTTCATTTACATACTACCTAGAGCTGCTTTTCTGCTACAAGGACAGGAGTGGCTGGAATACATGTAACGTGTCCACAAAATACTATCTGGTCCTTTACAGAAAAAAACTGCCTGGCCGAGTGTGGTGGCACACGCCTGTAATCCCAGCACTCAGGAGGCTGAGGCAGGAGGACCGTGGCAAGTTCGAGACCAGCCTGGGCTACAAAGTGAGCTCAAGGCCAGCCTGAACTGCATAGCGAGACCCTGTCTCAAAAACACAAAAAAGCCCCAATCAAACCAAAACAAAAAACCTGCCTGTCTCCACTGTAAGTTATTTATACTGCGATTAACTTAAATTCAGCATCCCCTCTCAGCTTCCAAAAGAGAAGAATTAATCAAATTCTTTATTTTCCCAGTGCCAATCAGTGTCTGCTAAGTAGCTGACAATAACTAGGAGGATCAATGAAAGAAAAAAGCCCCAAGAACTTCAGCCTAATGTTGACACCTATAGCACTTTCAACTAGTAGGTGACTGAAGAAGACTCCTTGAAATATGCCAGAAGTTTTATTATCCTTTTAGATTTTATTCAACATGACAAAAATTCTAATGAAATTATTACTCTTTCTGAAACTCTTCTAAGGTCAAAGAGAACTTCAAAACTGTCACCGCCCCCCCAAAACCCCCCAAACTAAAAGCATTTCATGCTGGTTTACATGAGTATATATACTGATAAAGGCTCATGACATTTTTTTTGTCTAAAATATGTATTTTTTAAATGAATGTCAATTATACAATAAAATTGATTTTTTTTTTTTTTTTTGGGTTTTTCTCCGGTACCAGGAACCGAACTCACGACCTTGCGCTTGCCAAGCAGGCGCTTTTGCCGCTGAGCTAAATCCCCAGCCCAATAAAATTGATTTTTAAAAACTTAAAAGAATACTTTACCTTAATTGTTCTAGGAAATCAGCAATGTACTCTTTCCAATTTTTGGGAAATCCAAACATGAATTTTCTTGTGAGATAATATGGATATCCTAATTAACAATGAACAAAAAAATTATTCAAAAGCCTAGGTTTTTAAAGAGATATCATTAATTCATTAAATCAGTCAAGAAAAAAAATATATATATACTTATTGTTTACTCTGTGCCAGGCACTGTCACAGATACTGAGGATTCAGCAGTTACCAATCAAAGATCCCAGCCTGTACCGAATTTGCCTTCTAGTATGCAAGAAAAGCAAAAAGTCTTATTTGTTAAATGGCCCATAGAGTACAGCAGAGGTCTGGGTTTCACATATATTCTGGAGGTAATGCCAGTAGGATATCCTAAAATGCTAGATGTGGGTATGAGGGCAATTAAGGTTTTTGGCTAGCCAGTAGAAGACTGGAAAAATGGTGAGCAGGTTAGGCCAAGCAGATTCAAGGGAGAAGATCAGGGTTTAGACATTACAGACATTCTGGTAGCGATGTCAAATGAGTACATGGAAAATGAACTGGATACTTAGGGTAAGTTTGGATTAGAAATATAAAATTGACCTTTGTTATCATATAGATAATAACATATATGATGAAAAAAGGAATCAGCCCAGAACGAAGGGGAGAAAGAGCCCTAAACTACTCCATTATTTAGAGGCAAAGAAGAAAGGAAACCACAAAGAAGGAACAGGCAATTAGACAGCATGAAAACTGAAATACGGAAGTTCAGAAGCCAATAAAGTGTTTCAAGGAGGTAGGTGGATCAACTCTCTTAAGTGTCCCGTGGACTCAGCAGTATTGAGCCCACAGGAAACTTTGATACAGTCTGTTTCATGAGAACTGGGCGATAAAGTGTGATTAATAAGTAAAAAAAAAAATTGAGAATTTGAGAGAAACCAGGTATGAGTGAGATAAATCTTCTCAGTTCTGCTGTACATGAGAGCAGTGGCTGAAAGTATGGATACAAAAAAAGCTTTTGAAATAGAAGAGAAAATTACTAGAGTGGTGTCCTTGAGTAAAAGAAGGGAAAGAGGGAAAACGGGAAGCGGTGTACAAACGGGAGAGGCTGCCAGCCACAGGCAGGAATACGGGTAACACAGCCGTAATGAAAGCGGGTGTGGATGCACCCGGATGAGCAGATGTGATAGAGACGTTCTCTTCTGACTGTTTCTACTGTTCAGATGCTCCCCGTTTACCTCTCCTCTTGCCTGAGAAAACACTAAGGAAGAGACAGCAGACATTTCCAAAAACCTGACACAGTCATCAGGGAGGACAAGAGAGCAAGCGGATTAGGAAAACGGCAGGGTACCGAGCAGCACCACGGACCACTAAGGGACTGTAACTTGTTGCTGGTAATTCTAAATGCAGAGTAGACTGTATTCAGTTATGTGCAATGCGTAAGTAGAAAATTAGATTATACCAAGATTGGGGTTGTGCCAGCTAGGTTCAACAAAGAAGTTAAATTACATTCTTCTAAGGTAATTCCTTATGAAGAGTAATTCACTTGTTTTTTATGACAAAACTTAATGAAGTTGTAAAGGAAAGGAATGAGAGAAAAATCAATACTTAAGCTATACATGTGATCAACTGTTTTAATTTATTCATCATTTTAAAATTTCTAATTTAAAAGTCAAACACACATATGTATTTTTTATTATTAAAAACATGGTTAAATGCTCACTTATTAAAATAACTTATCAATAAAAATGATACTCACCTGCTTCTTTCATGGAAAACTGGTCTATCAATCCTTTTAATATATAAATGTTGCCTGATAAAGTCCTAACTTCATTGTGCTTAATCCGCTCCTCAATTACATTACTGTGCCAGTATACATGCGTCATGTCTCTAGGGGAAAAAGCAGCTTGGTGAAGGCCAAATTAATCACATTTTACCAGGAGTCACAGTGTTCATATGTAAGTACAGTATATAGATTTATAATGCCAAGTAGTAATTTGCACTCTGGCTATAACAGTGATAACAATATTGCAAGTCCAAGTGTAAAACCTTTGAGGGCCAATCACTGCAGCAGAACTCAACTGCCTGGCACATGCTAGGAGTATGTGCCGAGAAACTACTGTGGATAAACCAGGCTCCCAATGTAAAATACATCATGAGCGTGGAAGCTTTCCCTAAACATCTGGTGCTGGCAGTGCTTGCAGCTTCAGCTTCACTAAGGGCACATCTGCGGCCCTCTGCCTCAGGTTTGATACTGTGCTGGCTTTCATGCAGAAATTGACATCTTGCTATTCTGTCCAGGCTTTGGGGAGCTCTTAGTTCTCCTACTTTAGCCTTCCAGAGAGCTGGAACTACAGGTACCTGCTCCCAAGCTTGGCTTAGAAATGTCGTAGATCCATCTAATCCTATGATTTTTTTTTTCACCTCAGTACATGCCATGTTTCTATGTTCCATTAAAAAACATAGCAAAGCTGGGCTGGTGGAGCATGTCTGTAATTCCAGTACTTAGAGGCTGAGTCAGGAGGGTTGTCATGAGTTCGAGCCCTGCCTGGGCTACATAGTGAGTTCAAGGGCAGCTTGAACTACATGGTGTGATCCTGTCTCCAAAAAAACGAAAACAAACAAACAAACAAACAAACAAAACAACAGCAAAAAAGAGGCTCAAGGACTCAAGTTAGGAAAAAAACTATAGTATCAAATGACTGATCCATCAATCTACTCTCTGTATTTCTTTAAATGAAGCTAAGCATGGATATAAAAAAGAAAAAAAAAATGAAGATGTACTAGATAAACATCATTCATTAAATAATAAATACTATTTACAAACATAATAAATTAAATTCTTTTAATTCAGTCAAATGGGCTTAAATGCTGTACTAAACTGATATTATATTACGTTTTAACACAATATTCTCCTCCATTCTTTCTAATTTTGCTTAACAGTTAAATAATATTCTAAAAGCAATGTTCTCTAGTATTCTTTCCCAGTGTGGTGGCACATAATCCCAGCACTGGGGAGGCTGAGGCAAGAGGATTGCTGCCAGTTTAAGGTCAGGCTAAATTACGTAGTGAGACTTTGTCTTAAAAAAAAAAACAACCCATAAAAAAAGCTACTTAATTCTCAGAACTACCCACAACGTAGGTAATATAGTACTTGTACAGATAAAGAAAGAGACTGAAAGATAGTAGTGACTTGCCCAAGTGATTCTGGTAGTGAGCAGCAACAACGGGCTCCCCTTAGCAGCAGTCTTTGCTGCCTCGTGCATTTTAAGAAAATGGGCCCCATTCAGACTTCGCACGTACTCCACCTTAACAACTTCCACGTAGGTACTTAACCAGTGCTATCCTGTACTGTTTCACTGCAAACTTGTTTCACCACAGAGAAAAACAGAAAATAAGCTGGAAGAGTAGCAGAATCAGCAAAGCCCGCTTACCTGTGGATGCTGTCATGTTAGGGAGAACCAGAAAGTGCAGATGTGGCAAAATTTTAAATAATTTTGGCTCCTTTTCTGGATCAGTAATTTTTACCTGGTGACTCCATTCACATGCCCCCATTCATGCACGAGAATGTGGACTGAAATGCATAGTAAGTATCAACTAATCATACATAATCAAGCAGATAGTAATAGTCCACACATTAGCACTTCAGAGAAAAATAAAGCACTATGCAAATTTGAACTGTCACTACCTTAAAAAATAATTTGAGAAAAGAGGCAAAAACATTGTTAACAATCAACATGATGAGGGCCTGCATAGTCTCCTTTAGACAGGGTCTCACTATTTAGTTCAGGCTGGTCTTGAACTCATTATGTAGCCCAGACTGCCCTGAGCTCCCAGCAATCCTCCTGCCTCGGCCTCCTGGGAGCTGAGATTAAAGGTGTGTGTCTCCACGCCTGGCTCCTGCATAGTCCTTTTTACCTTCTGTTCATAACCTCATGAGAAGGCATTTCTTTTGTAGGAAGAGGCTGCTTCCCATATACAGTATCACCTTTTAAGCTCTTATACACAACCACATTCTCAATTTTTTTTATCTTCTCAAATTTTAATACAAGAATATTTAAATGTTACACTCACGTAAGTTTTCCTTCTACACATATAGCGGTGTTATCATTGATGACTTTAATCATCCATTCCTGTAGCTGGATTACCTAATCAATCATAAAACAAAGGACACATCACTTGTACTATTTGCAGCATAAGCATTACAAAATTAAATTACAAGAAAAAAATCATCTAAGTAATCCTGACGATTCCTTAATACCCATCTATAAAATCACAGGTCACTAAACAGCAACTGCTAAAACTCTTGTATATAGTAAAACAGCAAATATGAAGAAAGAGGTTGAACTGAGGTTGTGCTGCATAGTTTGCCTTATAATCCAAAAGAAACTGCATTTCAAAACTCTTACATCAAGTATCTCAATAACGAGGCCTGGTGTGGTGGTGTACACCTGTAATGCCAGCCCTGGGGAGGCTGAGATTGGAGGATCGCTGTGAGTTTGAGGTCAGGCTGGGCTGCATAGTAAGTTTCAGGCTAACTTGGGCTACATGGAGAGATTCTGTCTCAAAGAAACCCACCCCATAAAAACCCCTACCTTAACCAGTGTGTGTGTAGGGGGCACACTGGTCATATAAAACACCAAGGTACACACCAAATTTTGCAGAAGAGCAAGTAACTTAGAGAAAAAGGGACAATTGTATTGTATCCCATCATCCTTGTCCCTAAAAATATTAGTTTTTTTTTTAATAAATTTGACTTAAGAGTTACATTTTGGTTTTCTATAAAGGTAACTGCTAGTAATACACATTTGTAGCACTGTATTTCAAAGTAAATGCCTGAATAGCTCAGAACACTATAGTAGTACACATAAAAACTCATTCGAATGGAAAAACTTCTGCAAACATCTATGCAAAAAATTATACTTCATAACAATTTAAAGTTGAACTATTTCTGATGAGAACTGAAGTTAAGATTTATACAGTAACTAGTTTGAGTGGCCATTTACTTTATATAAAATTATAAATTTATATATAAAGACAAATTCTCCATTGTGGTTTTATATACTCAATCTGGAAAATACATTAAAATGAGAGGACTATCTTTATTACTGTACTTCTCAATTATGTTCATTTAAAATTTTACAGGTAAGACATGGGGAAGAGTCTGTAAGTAACACTCCTTCTTTTTCTACTTTCCACATTTGGAATTACCTAAGATATATCAAAATATCAGTCACGGTGGGGATAATATTAAAATAAAACTAACATTAACAGTGTTTCCAGCATCTAGATGTGTCAACTCACATTATCCTCGCAAAACTAGGCTACTAAGTAGGCTGGACACACGATGTCTAGTTAAATAACTTGCCACGTGACTGGAAGGGGAATGATCTTAAACAAGCGGAGGCGGCAGTAAGAGTAGGATGCTTGAAAGTGGAAATTCGGTGCGCGTGCTCACTGCTAATGACAAGGTATGGGTAGGGCCAGGACGGAGGGTGAGGGTAGGAGAAAGATGTTAAAGATGAACAAATCAAGGATGTTGAAAGCTCTGTAACTGTGCTGTGGCAGAGATGAGTTAGAGTTCTGTACCACACCGCTTAAAGACTCAAAATGCCCGCTTGTTATTCAGTAAGTGTTCGCCGAGTCCCCTGCACTGTTCTAGGCCATGAGGATTCAGTGAGTAATAAAACAGTTGCCCTCGAACAGTAAACACTACCAAGTGTATGTCGTGGGGGAAGCAGAGGCAAGCAAGGTGGTGGTATCTGAGCAGACAACTAAATATTAAAATGTCTGCAGGTGAAAACTACTGTGAAAAGTAAGTTTAAGGGAAGGTAACTAGGGTGCTTCTTAAGTCAGGATGTCAAGGAAGGTCTTGGGGCAGAGAAATGATAAAGTGTGGGATGAGCCACACGATGATGAGCTTTTTCTAAGCACAGCACATGCGCAAAGGCCCTAAGCAGACCGTGGGAAAGCACAGTAACTTGAAAGAAATAAGCAGAAGAGAAGGAGAGGTTGAGAAATGAGGTTGGCGCTCTCCCTAGAGCATGAATGATGTGGACCTTGTAAATGCTGGTGAAGTTCAATGTTTTTTCCCAAGGTGAGAGGTTACTGGAGAAGCAGTTGAGAGTTATCACTGCAATGGTCATAATGATGTCCCATGGGATCTATACTGGATAGAGAGGAAAGAGGGCTAAGGCTGGCTTCGTGGGGGAAGTTCAGGGGAAGAGTCCTGGAGGGGACTGATCCTGAACAAGGGGAGCTGGTGGTAAGAGTGTAATGCCTGAAAGTGAGACTTTTGCTACCACCTAGTATGGCAGTACATGCCTGTGATCCGAGCAACTGGGAGACAGGGGCAGGAGGATCACTGCAAGCTCAGGCCAGCCTGGGCTACATAGTGAGTTCAAGGCCAGGCTGAACTACACAGCAAGACTCTGTCTCCAAAGCAGACAAACAAACAACCTCAAAAGCTTTCCTACCTTGCCAGGCACGGTGGCACACTCCTGCATCTCAGCACTTGGAAGGCTGAGGCAGAAGGATACCTGAGAGTTTCAGGCTAGCCTCAGCTACACAGTGACTTCAAGGCCAACTTGAACTACATAGTGAGAGGATGTCTCAAAAATCCAAAAAACATTTCCTACCTTATTTTTTTTAACTTCTTCTGTAATAGCTTGAAATAAACTTGGAGGAGAAAGCTTTGAAATATTTCTTTTTGACCTCCGAGGTATTGTTAAGTATAGTCTTGGACTGGCAAGTACAATCTTACATGTTTCTTCCATGGGATTGGGAAGACTGGTCTCTGTGGACACTGTTTTTTCGTTTTGTTCCACACTTTCCCCTTGTGAAGTACCTCCTGTTGTCATATCACTATCAGAAACTATTTCCTGACTACTACTTTTAACAGGAATACCATCAGTACTAGAAGTTTCAACATCCGTATTTTGCAATTTCTCATAGGAAGAATGAACATCTTCTAAAACAAATGTGTCCTTTTTGGACTTGGGGATTTCAACTATGTTCTTTTTTGAGTGAGGAATCTGTTGAGTCAGCTGAGCTCTAGCTAAGCCTTTGTTTGAGACTCCTGCAGGTAAAACATGTTCATGTTCTTGGTTCACAGCTGGAAGTTCTGCAAAAGATCCAAAAGGAAAGTTTATATAAGGATTATATGAAATTAAATGAGAGAAATAAAAGTCAAGCAAAAACTGCTTATATTAAAAAGAAGTCTTTGGATTAGAATGCTCTACCCTCCTGCCCAGTCTCTGAGTGCCTCTGGCTTTTAAATAATTCATGCTTTTTTCCTTTATCAATGTTTACTGCCCCAACTGGACAACTAAAACACAAATAGGAGGACAGTTTACCATAAGTTAAATTGTGCAGCTGTGCTTTCTTTTCCTGCTGGTGTTGAGTCTTTTGTTGGAAGGGAAGGAAAAGTGATGACTCTCGAGTAACTTCTTGGACAGGAGCTTTAAAAAAAAAAAAAGAAAAAAGAAGTTCACTATTACAGAGAAGAAAAAAAATGCCTTTTTAAAATCTTGCAATGACGACATTTAGGTTCAGTAATGATTAGACCAGCACGGTGGACTTTTGCGTATATGACTGGTACATCCACGTTTCCCTTTACTGTCTTCTCATGCCTCCACTCCGTTCTCTATACCCGTATCATGCCGAGGAAGCATTTTTTATAAACTTCTCTAACCCACAATCTGCCTGCTGTGTATAAAACTAAACAGGAGCCTTCTGTGAGCGTGAGGGTCTGGACCATGGCCCCTCCTAGTACAGGGGGCAGCAAGGCTCAAGGAGACCTCAGCTGGGCATCTGCACAGCCTTGATGCAGCTTCTGTCCAGCAACACACACCAGTCTGCTCAGTGCCAGCAGTTACACTGGACACCAACGCCCCAGGAGCCTGGGCACAAAGCTCGCTGAGGAGATGCTGACTAACGGGCAGATGGACAATGTCACACAGTGGCTAACAGGGCGATCTATGCTGTCAGGCGAGGACTTGGGGCAGGGAAATGGGGGAAGTACGTTAGTAGACTTACTAGTCTGGAGATCTGGAATAAAATTCTGGTGCTGCCACAAAGTAGGCAGATACTTGTTAAGATTATACATGAGGTGCCAGCCAGTCTTAAAAATTCTATTTGTTTCTGGTTAATGTAAATTTGAAACACAAAATAAGAGCTGTCTTATTCTTTAAGTCAAAATGTTGAGACATAATAGGAGATTCAACCATAATTTATATTCCCTTGACATCTTTTTTGTAGGCCTTTAAAGGCACAAAAACGGGTTTGTCAACTAAACAAGTGCTGTTTATATTTTACTCTGATTTATATTGTAGCCCTTTAAAATTTAATGTTTTTTGAATATAGAAATGAATTTCTTTCACATATAAAAGAGATAACAGTAAAGTTTGTGATAGAAAAGGAAAAACTGAATTATGTTTAATGTCAAATATACTTGAGAAAATTGGTAGTGATTATACTTTAACAAGTATGCCATTTAGCCTTAGAAATTTGAATATATAGATTTTATTAAAATGAAGTATAAAAAGTAGCAAATAGTTTCTACTTCTTTAACTCCTTTGGAATGGCAGGGCAATGCATTAAAAATAAGCATGTGACTTGATCAAATAAAACATGCTGTAGAACATGGGTCCTGTGTAGCCAAGCAGAGGCTATAAAAAAAACCTGTGAAGAGCCGGGCGTGGTGGTGCATACCTGTAATCCCAACACTCGGGAGGCTGAGGCAGGAGGATCGCTGCAAGTTTGAGACCAGCCTGGGCTACAAAGTGAGCTCAAGGCCAGCCTGAACTGCATAGACCCTATCTCAAAAAGACAAAGAAAAAAAAAAAAAAAACAACAACAAACCTTTGAAATAATATTACAACACTTGTGTACTTGCTGGGAAAGGCTCATCATATTCTCACAGCAGACAGGCATTTCTTCCCTCTGGAATTCTGTCTCACAGGTAAAACATGGTTTAATATGCATAATCCCACTTGCTTCTCCATTTTCTCCTAGGCGGTATAAGAAGGACTATTTTGTGTATTCCTCCATCTCTACCTCAAACTCCCTTAGAAAATTCTGTTTCTCTTTATCAGAATGTGTCACTACCTTTGAAACACATGTCTACAATCTTTTGGGTAGTGATCAAGAGAATGGGCTCTTTATAAGCCCTATTTGCTAAGTCCCATAGTGCTTGTTAAAAGGAATAAGAAAATACATGTAAAATACCTTTCATTACCAATTACTGAAACTCATCAAAATCAAGTGTGCCAATTTTCTTCTTTTTTGGCACCAGGAATCCAACTCAGGATCTTGTGCTTCCCAGGCAGGCGCTGGTGCAGTTGAGCTGTATCCCTGACCCAAGTGTGCCAATTTTTGAACACTTTCTATTTTTGCAAATCATTCTCTCAAATCTGCTATCCCAACAAGACCTGTCCAGTACTTCTTTACACTTCCTGATACTAGTCAGGTCTACTTTTTCCTGATTAATGAGGTAATCACGGTTACCCCCTTGCACTCACCCTCAACTTGTCTTTCTGCCATTTTATGTATTTGGCAAAAATACAACCCAGATAAAATCTAACCCCTTGCTTATTCCCTACCAGCACTTAAGCATTTAAAAATGGATAGAGGAGGGGCTGGGGATTTAGCTCAGCAGCACAGCGACTGCCTGGCAAGTGCAAGATCGTGAGTTCGATTCCTGGTACAGGAAAAAAAATCCCCCCAAAATAAAAAAATAAAAAAGGATAGAGGAAAATTTACAGTTATATATACACACTGGTCTCATTTTAGACATGCTTGAAAACCTCAAGTATCTCTTTGTTGTTCATAAAATCAATTTTAAACTAGACAATTTACTGTTCCTCTCTTCTGCACTATTCAGACCTCTACCTACTCACACTTGAACACTGCATCTCGTTTGCACTTGCAGCTGATGACGGCCTTACTTATTTCAGATTATCTGTGAAATTATATAACAATGACCCACCAGCATCTGCATTTTCACTAACTGCGTTCCTTCTTAATAATTTATCTGTTTGTGCCTAGCTAAAACCAAACCTAGATTTATGTAGGAAATTCTCTTCCCTCTCAAATACTCAGGTATCACACTAGCAATCTACGTTTGTGCCTTCTCATAGATTATCTCCAACTGCATACAAAAATGTTATTTCACCAAATATTCACAACTACAAAACCTTTAATTATACTTCTCATTATTTGTTTGTTCTCCTCAGAAAGACTTCTGTAGTTATTACCAATTTCTCTCATCATATTCCCTCTTGAACTAACTCGAATCATGTTTTTATGCCTACTATTTCACCAAAACTGCATTTGAAGTTACCAATAGCCTCTGTTATGGTTTGTGTCTGGGTGTCCCCGCAAAGCTTCATGCGGCCATGGGGCAGGCTTTTAGAGTTTGATTGATTATGGGTGTGAGAGCTACACCTGCCCTGGGGTGGATAGTTTGCATATGTAAGAAAGAGGAAGAGGCTGCTTGCCGCCATTCCTCCCTTTTGTGTTTGTTGATTTTGCTGTGTTCTGCCACCATGAGCTGTAGCCCTCTGCCATGTGGCACTCTGCCTTGTAACCTGCCAAGTATGGACTGAAACCTCCACAAACTGTAAGTGAAATAAACCTTTCCTTCCCTAATTTTGGGCGTCAAGTATTTTGTCCCAGCAACGAGAGAAAAAGTAACCCAGACAGCCTCCATGCAGCAAAACCCATGGATCAAATCTCAGCCTACTTGACCAATTAGCAGAACCACACAGAACTGGTGGCTCTCTATTCTTTTAAGCATTTTGCTCTTTTGACTTTAGTAAAATTCTTCTGGTTTTCCTTGCTCCTGGTCATCTCTCTAGCCTTTTATTCTTTTTTTTTTTTTTTTATTTTATTTTATTTTAAGGATAAAAGGAGGGAAACATTAACAGACATACAACATTTTACAACATATCACAAGCACAATACAGACAATACAGAGTTACAAACAGAGTGGTAGGGAATTAACAATAGTGGTTGTATTACATATTGATATCTTCAAGCCTTTTATTCTTTAACTTCTAAATGTTGGAATGCTCTAGGTCTCAGCCCTTGAATATTTTCTCTTTGTACATTTACTTCTTGAGGATTTTATTTAATCTCACAGCTTTAAATATTATTACATCCTTTTTCTTTCTTCTTCTTTTTTTTTAACTATTAGGTTCTAATAATTTTTAAGTGAACTTTGGTGCCCTGAGTCAGTTCCCTAAATTCCAATTAATTTTTTTTTTCAGCCTGACATCTGACTTTTCAATTATCCTTTGAATTACTCAGGCCAAAACCAAAACCTTAAACAAAATAAAAACAAAACAAAAAAACCTTAAGTTATTCTTTGTATCTCTTTTTCATCTATAAGCCAATCCTATTGGCTCTACCTTCAGAACATATCCAGAATCCAAGCACTTCTTAATTCATCCACTGCTGGCACCTGTACCAAGCCAGTGCTGTCACATGCATTACTGAGGTGCTTCTATTTCAAGTCAACAGCCAGAGAGATGTTTTAAAACATTCCTCCCTCAAAGCCCTCCAGTGGCTGCTGCTATGCTCACATTAAACCCAGTTCACACCAGGCATGATGGTGTAGGCCTGTAATCCCAGCACTCCACTTTGAAAGCTGAAGCAAGGAGAATCACCACAGAGTTCAAAGCCAACCAGGAGTACACAATGAGGGTCTGTATTAAAAAAGAAAGAGAGAGACAGAGAAATAAAGAGAGAGAGAGAGAGAGAAAGAAAAGCCAACTTATCTATACAGTCCTGTATTACCTGACTCTTATTTATCCCTGCTTCTTCAGCTCTGTCACAGTGTGTCCATGACACACTGACCTCATAGCTAATCCCTGTATGTATCAGCATGTTCCTATTTCAAGGAACAGGAGCTACCTGTCTGTGTCACCCTTCTCCATTTCCCAAGATATCTCTACCTACCACCTCCTTCAAAGGTTTGGGGCCAGGTGCTACCTTTACACTGAAGCTCACCTTGATCACTGCTCTGAAGATTACAACACCCTCCGACTCTATCATTCTTACTCTGCTTATTCTTTCTGCTTTCCTCTTCTGTACCCAAAACTTACTTTTGAAATTTACCTCAATGTGAACAATACTCAAAGAAGCAGAGATATTGATGTATTTTATTTACTGTTAATCTGGAAAACCTAAAACAGTGTCTGACACATTAAATATTTATGACATTCTAGCTCTTTAGCCAAGATATAATAACTGTTACCTGATTGGAGCGGTCTGTTATTTTCCTTTTCTTCACATAGGAAGGTATGCTGCAGTGGTCTTTTCTCATCTGTGTTAGGAGTGAAGCGTTTATTGTATTCACTGTTTGGTGGTTCCAACATACTACTGTTTCTAACTGCTTGCTCTTGTTTGTCACGCAGTACTTTTTCTTTCATTCTCTGAAATACTCTTCCTGGTGATTCATAGGCTGCTTCATTTTTTAGTCCACTGTTACTGGGTTTTATAGCGCTGATATCAAGATAACTATTAGAGATGGCAGGCTCTGTTAGCATGGTAGATTGAAACACATTTTTATTGTTAGAAGTTGTCATTTCTAGAAACTGATTCTTTCTACGGTCTTTCAGTTTTAAAGAAGACTTCTGATATTTCACCAAATCTTTTACAGGAGTAAGTGTGCCTGCAGGAATACTGTCAAAAAAGACTGCATCCATGGGCATATTTCTTCTTTGAGAAGATACCTCTGAAGATAAGTGAATTCCCGGATGTTTCAAAGGTGTTGCAATCATCTTGATAAGCCAGTATCAACAAAATTCCTCTAAGAGAAAATTCAAACACAATTTTCAGGGTAGAACTTCAGTAGGACCCAGAGAAACCTGTAGTTCAAAGTGAAATCAATCTTTATCATGCTTTGGTGATGAAAAGTTTAAAGTTTATTTGCTTTCTGTAACAACATTCTAGTAAGTGAAAAGTTTAACTGCTTCATAACAACACTGGATAATCCTAGAGTTCACAAATTAGACTAGGATTTTAGTTTTTTGTTAAAGTCTTATTTTTATTATGTTTCAATAGAAGAGTATTTGGTCTTTACATTTACTTCTTTCAAAAAAGCAGCATTCACTAAATGATATATTTAACAGCTCTAAGATCTGAACTTTGAATATCTGTTTTTGAAATTTATTTGAACATCAAGTCTTAGTGGTTTCAATCTAATATTTACTTAAAAAAGAAGTAGCAAAAAAAGAAGCATCTGCATGACACTCTATTAAACTATAAAATGTTTTAACTTTCACAAATGTGGTTTTCCCCTTTACTCACTCAAATTTTAAGGCAGCAGTTACAATTATCTATCCTAATGACAACCAAAAGATCCATTCAATTATTTAAATAATCTGTAACTCTGAGTTTATTATGCCAAAACATTTAAATTACAAGATCTTGTTGAAAACCTTCAAATAAAAAGTAAATCATAATTATTTACTTTTTTTGGGTACCAGGAGTCAAACTCAGGACCTTGCGCTTGCCAGGCAGGCCCCGTGCCACTCAGCTATATTTCCAGCCCCATAACTATTTTAAAATGTAATACTACAGAGATTTTCTTTAACTTCTTACACGTAAATTTTATTCCTCATACCTAGGAATTATAATTGTTGTATTAAGTAATTCTTGGAAAATGAAGTATTTCAATCAAAGAGCCCTGGAACTTACTAGTCAAGATTTGTAGCATCTCTTAATACTGAATTTGTAACTCTTCTGATATTTTTTGAGATCATCTAAATATAAAAAGCCTATTACAAAAGTACTAATATAATCAGATGAAAAGACATCAAGTATCTTTATCTACAGTAGAGAAAATCAGTTTCTGTGAAAAACAATCAACTTAAAAGTTCGTATACGAAGTAGTATTTTATCCAGTAATTTAGGATTATAAGGGGGGGAAAGAAAGGAAAATATTCTTCAATAATCAGAGCTGATAAAGATGGGTAAAAGTGTGACTGACCCTGAGACTGGAAAACTACTGTAATTCTTCCACAAACGTTAATTCAGCAATATGCAATAATGCATATATTTATAGGTTTGTTAATGTTCTAGGTATCAGGAAGGAAGTTCTGGGAGTTATACTAACTGTTCACTTTAAGCAGTATCAATAAAGGTACATACTCTCTCTCAAAAACAAGAATGAATAAACTAGACAATTGCAGGGGAAAATGGCAGAGTATATCTGGATTTACCCAATCTTAATTCATCAGAGACTAATGAAATGCTTAACAGCAAGTAAAAATTGCAAATAGTCTAGCAGCACTGCAAATAGACCCAATCTGTACTGACAAAAATAACTTTTAATTTAAAAGCATATACCTATAGACACAATTTTGCACCACAGACCTGCTCCTACACCCTATCTCCCCAACCAATTCAAACAAGCAGCGAGATGAAGGTAGGAGGTCAAAATTCTGAAAAATCCTCAAACCAGGCAAGGTGGTGGTGTCCGTAATTGCAGCAGTGAGGAAGGCTGAGGCAGGAAAATTGCAAGTCTGAGTTCTGCTGAGCAGCTCAGTAAGACCTGTCTCAAGACAAACATGAAAAGGCCTGGAAATGTGGTTCAGTGTAGAGGCCCTGGGTTCTACCTCGGGTACTGGGGGAAATAATCCTCAAATTCTCCTGTCTCCCAAAGAGACACCGTAAGTTTTGTATGTGAACGCTCCTTCCTCAATATGTGACAAACAGCAACTCAGTAGAAATTAAAAGAGCTGCCAAAGCATGACGGTGGTTTCATTGTAGTTGGTGGGAAAGAAGAGGCAGAGAAAAAATGTGGATAGGATTTGCAGAATAGATACAGAAGTCAAACCACTAGATATAGCCCACCCAAGAAAGATGTGAAGGCCCCCAGTGTCCTTCTAGTTACAAGAGCAAAACAAAACACATCATTAATGCTCAGCCTCTGAGGAAACAGTGGTTAAACAGGGACATATAAGGAATTCAAAAACCCAAAGAATTCAATTAAAATGAGCAAAAAGACCCTAATAGATATTTCTAAAAGAAGAAATATAAAAGGTCAACAAATGTATGAAAAACTGCTCAACATCACTAATCAACAAGCAAATGGAAATGAAAACCACATAGATTCCAATTTTTTCCAGTTAGTGATTTGTTTTTTTTTTTTTTTGGTACCAAGAATCAGACTCAGGACCTTGTGCTTGCCAGGCAAGTGCTTGTGCCACTGAGCTATATCCCCAGCTAGTTAGAATGGCTATTATCTATAACGATGTTGGCAAAGATGTGGAGCAAGTATTAGGATAATCTAAACTGGTACAGCCATTATGGAAAATACTACTGAGGTTCCTCAAAAACTTTAAAAAGTGGAGCTATTATATGATCCAGCACTCCTACTAGTGGGTATATAGCCAAAGAAAATGAAATTACTATGTAGAAAAGATATCTGCACACCCATGTTCACTGAAGCACTACTCACAACAGCCAAAAATCAGAATCAATGTAAATGCCCAACAACAGACAAACAGATAAAGAAAATGTGTATCTACAGAACGGAATATATTCAGCCACAACTAAGAACAAAATCCTGTCATTTGAGACAACATAGATGAGCCTGGAGGGTATTATGTTAAGTGAAACAAACCAGGCAAATAGAGACAAACATTATACAACCTCCTCCATATGTAGAATCTTTAAAAAGCTGGTATAAAAGTAGAAAATAGAATGTAGTTACCACAGACTGCAGAGAGGATGGACAGAGGGAGGATAAGAAGATGGAGGAGGAGAAGATAATCGGGAGTGGAGGAAGGAGGGTGGTCAAGGCTACAAGTAGGAAGAATAAGTTCTAATGTTCTATGAACAGCAGGGTGACTACAGTTAACAATAAGATATATTTCTTCTTCTTCTTTTTTTTTTTTTTGGCTTTTTGAGACGGTTTCGTTATACAGTTCAGGCTGGCCTTGTGCTCACTTTGTAGCCCATGCTGCCCTGGAACTCACAATGATCCTCCTGCCTCAGCCTCCTGAGTGTTGGGATTACAAGGGTGCACCACCATGCCTGGTGACAATAAGATATATTTCAAAATAACTAGGTTTTGGAATGTTTGACAGATATAAGTGCTCTGATTTGATATAGGCAATGCATACATGTACTGGAATATCAAATTATAACCCATAAATATGTAGTTATAAAGTACCAATAAAACACACACACACAAAGTAGAGGAGCACAAGGGCATATAAGTACAGTGGTAAACAGTAAAAGAACTAGAAAACAGAAATGAAAGATACTGAAAATGAAATAGAATTAGTTTTAAAATAAGTTCTGAAGAAACTGATACATCAAGGACAGTGGATTCAACAAACATATAAGAAAAGCAAAACAATGGAACTAGACAAATAGTATGAACAAATATTCCTGAAAATGAAAGGCATTTTAACATAGTACCAGTGAAAAGTGACAAAAAAATGGTCCCTGTCAAAACATATATAAGTGAAGCTATTAAACTGTTAAAAGTATTCCTTCAAAAAAATTCATCATCATAATTGGCATCACTCAAGTTGAGGAAGAAGCAGAATGTCCTCAAAGCCAAGCATATTTGACCTAGATAGAAGTCATGAGCAAGATATTAGCTCCTTCTAATTAGACCCTTCTCAGAATGGAGAAGGTGAATGCTAAAATTTTTGCTTCTGTTTTCAGTAACTGCTTAAGGCTGTTTGGAATATTATTTTGAAAACTGGCAAGTGCTGATACACTAGGGAAAAAGGGAAAGCTATAAACATTTACAGTGTAAACACAGGACCACTAAACAATATTACTAAATATTATTCCTCCTCCAAAAAAAGACATGGGAAATTCTTCTAGAAATTTACTGCAGTAGTAGCTGCAGTAACAATCTGATGGGATGGGTTAAAATCCTACAGCACATTAAGGAAGGTGAGCCTGGGGAACTAGAATCCTAAGTTAACAGTTAAATAATACACGAGGCAGAAAAAGCACATATGACACAGAGCTATATTACACAACTTTCAGAGATTTAATGAATCCATTCTCAAAAACACTGAAAATGCCAAAGGAACTGATAGGCAATTAATAAAAGAAATATAAAAGTCCAATAAATTAGTCAACTAATACTCTACTATTAAATGAAGAAATGCAAATTAAAGCACTAAAATTAAAGCATTTTACTTAGACATTGGTAAATATTAATTTCAAAGTATAAATCTATATACCCTTAATTCAGAAATTTCACTTCTAAATTATTTTCCTCACAGAAACATCCATCCATCCTCACAGAAACATCAATGCAAATATCTATGCAGTAATGACAAGCAGTACTTACTAAATAGTACCTACTACATGTTAGCCACTATACAATCTTACTGCAACTCTTAGGATTTCAGCAATCTTACTGCTCCCAATTTGAAGATAAGGAAACAAAGGTACAGACTGGTTAAGTGAGGTGGCCAGGGTCACACTTAACAGCCAGAAAGAGCAGAAACCAAGCCCACCCTCAAAGCCCAAGTTCTTTAACAACAGGCAACATGATCTACTACTACCCAGTTCACTGCAGCACTGGGGAAATCAGAAAACAACTTAGATGTCCACCAACAAGGGTCAAAATAAATTCATAAATTCTGCTACATCTACAAAACCGAATTCTGTGTATTCAACAAGAAGATATACAGCTACTGACATGCAAAATTCCCAGGAAAATTAAATTTAAAAAGCAAGCAGAAAACTGGGGTTGAAGGGGCACGTCTGTAACCCCAGCACTCCGGGAGGCAGAGGTAGGATTTTAAATTCTGGCGCAGCCTGGGCAATTTAGCGATTACGAGAGACCACGCCTCCAAATTTAAAAGGAGGAGGGCTGAGGACGCAGCTCAGGGTGAAGCTCTGGGTTCAGTCTCCGGTATATGCCCCTCCCCCCACCGCGCCCAGACGTGTAGCTGCATTTCCGTTAACAAATACGAACATAAACAGAGGGCGAAACTGGAAGGCAGCGCGCCAAACGGTACAGTGCTTAGCTATGCACGGCAGGGTGAGCGGGCCGCCCGCTGCAATGCATCAGCACCCAAAACGTTTTGCAACCGGCACGCAGTTTAATCAGAAGCAAGCATACACTGGAGACATCCTCTGTTTCTACATCCCTGAGTCGTAGGCCCAGGGTGAGGATCTCTGGAGCAGCCCGGGCCAGGGCGGAGCGCGCGGAAGGTGGGGGTCGCGCCCGGCAGCGCGGACCGGGTCCGAGGACTGAGGGCCGGGGACAGAGGGCCGGGGACACAGGGCCGGGGACCCGGACGGCGGGCGGGGAGCAGGGAGCGGGGAGCGGGGAGCGGGGCGGCAGCTCGTACCTCGGGGGAAGGGTCTGGCCCAAGGTGACCGCTGATGTCCGCCTCGACTCTCACAGGACGGCCGGGCGACCCCGAGCTGGCGCCCGAGCCCCACAGCTGCCCGCCCCGAGCGCACCCCGCGCGTCGCGAGGTCCCCTCACACCAGCGCCCGGATTTCAAATCTGAGGAGCCGGCCCTCCCGCCGGCTCGGGATTGGCGCGCTCCGCCCTGGCGTCACCACGCGTCTCGCCGCGACTCAAGGAAGCCTGGGGCGCGATTTCGCTCCGCGTGGACAACGAGGTGCCCATAGAGCGTCTGTCACCCCGACTGGCCAAGAGCAGGGGGTGCAGCTCGACCCGCGGAGCTCATTCCGTTTTTACAGAGCGCGCGCCGGTTCCGCGTTCCGCCACTCCTCCCAGAGTGCTCTGCGGCGGGAAAACCAATCACGGACCCCGCAGGCGTGCCCAACACTGTAGCGGTTACTAAGTTTGGCCCTTCCCGGCCAACCGCCTCCGCTACTGGTGTTGCTCTCGGAGGTCCTTGTCTGAAGAATGTGGGTTGCTTCTGGGATTTGAAAGCACTTTTTTCTCAATTCGCCATATATTCGAGATTGAGAAAGAACGTTTTGTTCTCAGGGGCCACTAGACCAAATACAAAATTGCACACAAATTTAATTTTTAGTTTGAGCTATTCCGGCAGGAAGAGCAGTTTTTTTGTTTTGTTTTGTTTTGAGACAGGGTCGCACTGTGTATGTGGTTTAGGCTGGCTTTGAGTTCGCGGAGGTCTTCCTACTTCAGCCTCTCAGGTGCTGGGATTACCGGCGTATGACACTTTTATTTTATTTTTTTAAACAGCACCTCAGGTTCTAAAAGCATTGATATTGACAATTATAGATCGCCATGCCTTTTTGACAAGAGTATAGACTGTGCCAGGCTTTAGAGTGGAGCTGGTTGGGTTCCGCTTCAACAACTCTGCAGGTTGGAGCCTCTCACGACGCAGTCGCTGGCTGAAGCCTAGTGTAGGACGCCTTGTTTCCATCTTGGAAGTGAAGGTGAAGCCAGGACAGTCAGTGCTAAACCCTATCGAACGCCAAACCTGCATCTGACCACAAACTGCGCTCTTCTTCACCCCAGTTAGCATTTAGAACAGCACAACTTTGTATGTTTTATCTAAGAAAATTCTTCAATTTCCTAGAGCCGTGTCACATTTCACGGTTAAGACTTACAACACTGGACTGGAAAGGTCGCAGTGGATCAAACTTTTGAAGTGGCTTTTGCAGTCCCCTTTTGGAAATTCTAGATCTTTTACATTCTGTCACAGCAAATATTCCAGTTCCAAAACATAAACATAAAACATCTGAATGAATGAAAGTAAGGAAAAGAAATCAGTTGGGAATGGGAAGTAAATCTACATGAATAAAAGGAGGTTTGTTGGGGCTGGGGATATAGCTCAGTGGCATAAGCACCTGCCTGGCAAGCGCAAGGTCGTGAGTTCAATCCCCAGTACTGCAAGAAAAAAAAGAAAAGTCTTTTGGTTTGTCTAAAAGGAGGTTTGTTGCTTTTACAGAATAATGAGAAAATGGACATGGCTTGTACCAAGTTTGTGGGTAAAACCAGGCTTAAATTTACAGGTTAAGCAGCATATATGAAACACACTTTGTAGGACAGAGAGGAATTTTTAAAAGACAGGCATTCAACCTCCAAAGCATTTGGAATTGAGATGTGAAGACTTCTAAGCCTGATGATGGAGATGGCATGGCTCTCCCAATCAGACAAAATAGGAACCCTGAAATATTAAGAGCAAACAATTGGAGACCAAACAAACAAAAACAAAACCCATTTCTGACAACTAACAAGCATGTTGCATGCTCTAGGATGAACAGCAACAAGAATTTACATAGGATGACTAATTATTTTCCAAGCAAAACTAGATAAAACAGTCTGTGGCTAACAAAGTGTGCTAGGAAAGCAGGAGAGGCAAGGCCTGTGTTCATCAGCCCATTGGGTTATCAATATGCTGACACTGGGGAAGCTCTTTAAATTTGTCTGTGGGGGGGAGAGTGCTGCTCCTGGCTCCCAGCTGGCTACCTGGGATAACATGTCCTGTCCTAGGCCTATAACTCAGGGAACACATACAGACGCAACTGAGGTCCAAAGAAAAGAAGATGGTACTGGAAGTCTTCCTGTGTCAGAGTTGCTGCATTTGAGACTACATCATCTGGAGAGATATTCCCAGAACCATGGTTAGTTCTAGCAGGATGAAGCCTCATGTGTGTGAAGCATATGTTTTACCACTGATTCTACCCTCAGCTCCTGTGTGACAATTTTAGGAGAACTGGAAAAATGTTCTTTCTTCAAGGCCAATGGTTCTTACCCAAGGATAATTTAGTCCTTGTAAAGGAGAGTTGCAAATGTCTGTAGACATTTATAATTGTCCCACCTAGGGAGTGTACTGCTGGCATTTAGTGGGTAGAAGACAGCCCTAAACATTCCTGAATGTACAGGATGGCCCCTCCACTATAAAGATTATCATCTAAAATGTCAACCATATCAGGGTTGAGAAATCCCACTCTTGGCAGATGTCCCGAAACAGCCTCCCTCCCCAGCAAGGTGCTCAAATAGATGAAGACACAACTGTATACACACTGCACACTGTATGCTCTAAAAGGGATGAGAAGAGAGTCCTTAGGGAGGTGTTTTAGTTACTTTTTATTTCTGGGACAAAATACTTGACACCCGCAAGTTAAAGCAGCAAAGATTTATATTAGCTCCCAGTTTGTAGAGGTTTTAGTTCCATAGTCAGTTGGCTCCCAGGCAGGCCAGCATGGCAGAGGGACATGGCAATGGAGAAATAGTCCATAGCAGACAGGCAGAAAGAAAAAAGAAACAAGTCTGCTGTTTTGGTTACTTCTTTCTCGTTATTGAGACAAAATGCCTGACACCCAGAATTAAGGAAGGAAAGGTTTATTTAGCTTACAGTTTGTAGAGGTTTCAGTCCCTATATTGGGGACTTTGGCTGGCTCCAAAGCAGAGAGGCATATGGCAGAGGGCAACGGTTTATGGTGGTGGAAAACAGTAAAAGCAACAAGAGCAAAAGGGAGGAGCAGTGGCAAGAAGCCTGTTTTCCTCCCTTACACTGTATGCAAACTACTCACCCCAGGGCAGGCATAGCACTCATATCCATAGTTCCAACGTTGGACCATGAATTAATCATAAACTCTAAAATCCTGCAAGTGGCTTTGAGGGGAACATCCAGACATAAACCATAACTCCTGCTTTCGATCTTTCTCTGTATATTCCATCCAGTCTACCATCAATCCTACTGGTGTCACTCACTGTCACGATGGGTCTTTTGTCTTCAGTAAATCCATTCAGCCACATCCTGAACCAAGCTAATACAATTGGGGCTAATATGGTTTTCACATCCTTAATCTAATATGACACACTCATGATCCAGCCATCTTGGAAAAGCCAC